TTTTCTATCTTATTAAAAAAATAAGTTATTTATAATTTACAATCTTTTTTCAACACCCTGTATTACCTTTTTCGAGTAACACACTTGAACTTGAAAAACACTTTCAGAGGTCTAATTTAAACATGTTTGGGCGCTGAAAATTATTTCAGGGCGGCAATAATTTTTTTTCGAAATTTATGTTTCATAAACTAACAATTTTCTTACCAAAACATTATTTTTTTCATTATGTTATGTATTATTTCGTGCTTACAACATAAATTCTCTTTGTATATTTTATTAATTTTTAACCAGTTTTTTAATTTAATTCCAAATTTCTAGTACAAGACTGTGTGGAAATTTCAAAATTAAATAATTTAATTACGATTTTGTACACAATTTTTTTGTAAAAAGAAAGAAAAAAAATCTGCAGATTGAAGCACACATAAAAATAGTTATGTCTTTGCTGTCTCAAAAAATATAAAAAAGAGAAATTACTAAAAAATGAACAAATCATATTTCCAGGTAATAAATGTGCTAGTAGTTAAAAAATTGATTATATCGCTACTGAAAGTCCAGTTTTTGATATACAGGGTGGACCAGAAACAGAAAAAATATTTAAAAAATTCTAAATTATGAGAGTTAAAATTTTGATTGTTTTTTTTTAATGTTATTTGTGGCTTTTATTGGCAAAATTTTCGTACCTTTACTAAATAATTAAAAAAAACATATACAAGATTATCTTTATTATTAAATAGACATGTCAAATGTCAAAATTTTTTGACAGATAGAATTTTTTAAACATTTTTTCCTGTTCCTGTATGAAATCAAAGAAACCTCACGTGACTGTAATATCTCTATCTTTGTCAAACAACTTTCTTTGTCTAACAATTGGACTTACAAATAATCTCGAGCATGGAATCAGTTTTGCGCTTCTCGTCGACGACTAAAAACAGCCTTTCCAGTAAATTGGAGCAAAAGTACTCAATATCCCAGATGTTGGCCTCCTCAAAGAAGGTTATAACCGCTGAAAAAACCACGACGTAGTACGTGGGTATGAGGAAGGTCATTAAACTATCAAAGACTCGAATCGACTTGCGTGCCTGTTTCCTACAAAGTTGTTAGAAGAGTAAAACTGGAAATAGTGTGTTTTGCCTTCGAAGCCACTGCATGAGGCCCCCTTCCGACTTGAGTCTCAGCAGAAAATGGTGGATGCAGCTGAGACAAGCCCACACCATGTGCGTGGCCAACTCGGAACCGATCTTCGTAATGTGGACAAAGTGGATGAAGGTTTCGAGGATTTTGAGGCCTTTGAGGCGGTTCAAGTGGACGCGATACGAGTCCTGGATGTGCGTGAGACAACACTCAATCAGCTGGTTTTTGAGGGACTCGATTTGGACGGTTTTGAGTTGTCTCTGGGATTTTCGCAGGAATTTTCGGATGTTGAACGTCGGTTTTCGCCCTCTGCCGTGACCTGAGATTGAGTCCCGGGCAAACACGCTCTGGATCTGCTCTTCGATCACCGATGCTTTGATACTCAAGTTGGGCTTCCCCGACATGAGGGAAAGCCCCGAATTGTGGAGAGCCATGGTCAAGAGACACGGAAATTTTTTAGGCCTTGGGCCATTTTGCCGAAACTGTCAACTGTCATAATAATGATTCACGAATTTTTACCTTTTTGATTTTCTAATTGAGGCAATTTGGACTTCAAATTTGCATACATGTGTAAAATGTTCCGAGAAATCGATTGGAAAACTGCAAAATTTTTGATGTTTTTGGCTTTATCATCAAATTTCTCGATAACTATTTAACGTAGGACAATCATTTTTTTATCAATGATAAAAAATTAAATTTGCTTTGCAACGGTACCAAACATAAGAGGTTARCACCAATAAGTCCGGAGTTATTGGCAATAGACCGCTCCGGGTGCCAAAAATCGAACAAAATCGCGACAAAATCAAAAAAATTGTCAACCTTAAAATTCTTCCATAGTACGTTTTTTACATTTCTAGAGGCCTTAAAAAGTGCATAAAACGCCATTGAATCAAGTTTAAAAATTTTCAAATTTTTTGAGTTTCTGAAAGTGAGCGGTAATAAAATCCTAAAAATAGTCAAATCACTAAAAGTCGTAAAAAAGCTTYAAATAAAATATAAAAAATCACGTGCTGAACACGATGCTACAAGTTAAAATACTCTACGACGCATAGTTTTTGAGATATTGAGAAATAAAGTTAAGAATAAGGCTAGAAGCATAACAATTATATCCGATTTTGACCCAAAATCACCCTTATTTGAATATTATCGAAACTAAGACATGTTAGAAAACAATAAATTTTAAAGGGGGGGTGTTAACAAATTTTTAGTTTTTTTTATTTTGTAAATTGCAGCAAAACTGTACCTCAATGATATAATATTTTGACTTAAACTTATGTAAAATGTTCTGGGGAATCGATTGGCGTCAAGAAAACTGCAAAATTTGTAARAGTTTTTAAGTTACAATCAAATTTATAGTCTCGATATTTTTGACTTTATCAGCAATTTTCTCAATAAGTATCTAAAGTAGGACAGTTATCTTTTTATTGTATAATAAAAAAATAAATTTGCTTTTCGACGATACCAAACAAAAAGGACTAGCATCAATAATTCCGCCGTTATTAGCAATAAACTAAAAATCGCCCAAAATTACCACAAAAATCGAAAAAAATTGAATCACTTGTAATTTTTCTCAAATTCAAATATAATTCAAATAAATGTCAAAAGAGGGCGAGCGTATAAGAGCGCGAACTTCAAAACAGATATCTACAAAAGTGATAATAGTGTAATAAAGTTAATAATGTACAAGTAAACAAAAGGTAAGTTACAAGAAAATATAAACAAAAGATAAGTTTTGATAATAGAAATAAAGAAATATTTTTTTTATTAATTAGTTATTATTATTACTAATAATTTAAATAAAAGTAAAATGAAATATAAAGTGAAGGTAAAATTTTGACTTCTCAATTTTTGACGTATCTGAACTATTTTGGATAAAAATGAAAAATCTTAGTTGGCCCATGATTTTGAAATTTGGTATAGAGGCTTAGATGTTGATTCTAAACCACTTTCCTTATAAAATTTTTCTCGCATAACATAATAATAAAAACTAGGGTTTTTTTAGAAAATTTTAAAGACACTTGATTTTTCAAAATTCAAAAGTAATTTGTGTTTAACTATAGCTGATTTGCTCACCAATTAAATGAGAAGAAGATATAAATAGAAAAATTAATTTTATTTTACACAGTGATATAATATTTTGACTTAAACTGATGTGAAATGTTCTGGGGAATCGATTGGCGTCAAAAAAACTGCAAAATTCGTAATACTTTTAGTCAGATTTATATTTTTGAAACTTTTAACTTTATCAGAAATTTTCTCGATAACTATTTATCGTAGAACACTGGCCTTTCTTGTATATGATAGAAAATTAAATTTTCTTTCCAACGGTACCAAAAATAAGAGGTTATCACCAATAAGTCCGGAGTTATTGGCAATAGACCGCTCCGGGTGCCAAAAATCCACCAAAATCTCGACAAAAATCAAAAAATTTTCAACCTTGAAATTCGTTCATATAACGTTTTTTACATTTCTAGAGGTCTTAAAGACTCAAAAAAGTGCATAACACGCCATTGGGTCAAGTTTCAAAAATTTTGAATTTTTTGAAAGTGAGCGGTAGTAAAATTGTAAAAATAGTCAATTCACCTGCAATATGATTTTCTAGATGTAAAATTACGAAGCAACAAGTTAAAATACTCTACGATGAATAGTTCTTGAGTTAAAAATAAGGCCAAAAATCGACCACTTCAACTTTAAAATAAATTTTTTTTTTTTTTTTTGACAGACTTGCAACAATAAACATCAATTCAAAAATAACACCTTTATTGTAAAAAATAACACAATTTAAACTTTGATAATACAAAACATTAATACTAATCTGAAAGATCTATAACTGAAATATCACTTAATTTCTGACTCGAGTTGCATTCTTCATCGACTAGAAAACTAAACACAAATATGAGAAAAAAAAATGACTTTGAGTTGAATACAAACCCCAGGAGCTCTTCCTGTCGTGCCACAATCTCATGGTACTTCACAATCTGCCACTGAAGTTCATTCAGTTGTTCTTTGGTGAAAACAACCTCAAACTCCTCACAACCAACATTTTGATAATTACTGATTTGCTTGAGGAGCTTCAACGCTGCGCCCCCTGTGCAACAATCCTCATTCTGGCTCAACATTAAGTGCAAATACAAGAGAACCTTCTTCGTATCAACCGACTTCTGGTACTTCTCCCCCAACTTCCACACGAGAATCTCCAAGAACCTCTCAAAGTCCAAATTTTTGACATGGATTTGTGAGAGAATTTTGGCGAGTTTGTGCCCCACTATGGATGCCATTTTGGCCAGGAACTTGAAGGTAACTTTATCATAATCCTCATCATCCTCCCGACTTTGCATATTGTGGAGGAGGTTCTCCATGGAGAGGTTGACATGGAACCTGTAGACTAGAGGGAGGATCTTATTAGCACATTCTTTCGCACTTGAAATAACAAAGTCATTGTCTTCGTTATCTGAAGACAAGTCGATGGTTTTGTTTGCGAAAGTGTGCACATCGTGGGTGTAAACATGGGCACGGGGTGGTTCACTAACCCCACAAGTGGCAATCTCCCAAGGTTCAATTATCTCGCAATTGAATTCAGGGTTGTAGATCTCTTTTAGCAAAGCAAAATTTACTTTCATAAAACACGAGTCTTTCTCGGTGGTTAAATCAACGATTTCTTGATTTTCTTGTTTTATAACACAAATCGTTTTTGAATCGTTTCGCAATTGTGCTTTTGTTACCGTTGCTTGATTTTGACATTCATCGGGGGAAAAATCGACTCGGGGACGGCGTCGTCTCAACCTCGTAATTTTTTTCGTTTCGTGGTATTTTATTTCCTTCAAACATTTGATTAGGCACATTTTTACGTTCTTTTTTAAGCGTTTTTTCATCTCTTTGTGTTCTTTTTTTTCTTCAATTTTGCGCTTTTTGGGCGGCAAGTGGAACTCATTGGATTCATGACAGTGGTTTTTACATATAAACATTTTAAGTGAACCTTCTTTATTTTCGTGTTCAAGGACTTTTATTATTTCCTCCGCACTCTCGTAACCTTTAGTGATGTTTTTTATTGGTTTGTTTGTTATGTTCTCGGTTTCGAGCATGAATTTTTCTATATCCATGAGGACTGGATCCAGATTTACATTTCTGGAAAGAAATATAAAATTCAAACCAACAAAGCGTGAATTCTAAATACACAAATTTACCCCATTTCCATAACATAATATAACATTGATAGCAATAAAGTTTAGTTTCCGATAAGATAAGTAAACATCAGATACGAATATAAGAAATAAAATACTTTAAAATTACAAACAGAAATAAATACTTCAGCAATTACAAAATACTCAATGCGATAAAAAAATTATCAATCGTGTTTACTGTTTATCTCGTCACATTCTCGTAATACTTGGTTTGAAATTTAACACGGAAGTGTTACAATCAAAATTCCCTAAATCAATCAATAACATACATCAAATTAACACAAGCATTTAAAAACTATACTCAAAATAGTAGATTTGTTATCTAATAAATTTTATCTACGTAAATAAAATCACATATGGACCAACTGTGTCTCCATTTTACCGAAATTATTCCCTAGGATTTAGGGATATTCGTGAATAGGTTGCCATAAATGGTTAGGTTAGTTTTTGGTGACAAAAGATATCGTAACTAGTGTCAAAATTTAGGTTGTCACCTGTCAGCTTTTGACAGAAAACGTCAACCTCAAGGAGTAACCAACCCTAAGCATTCAAAATTACTTCTGAAAATTCTAGTTGCAAACAACAATCCTTGTTGACAGATTAATAAGGAATTACCACCTAGGATTAAAACTTTTAGGAATATTACGTTTGTCATGTTTGTAAAGAAGTAATTTTGAATGCCTAAGGTTGGTTTATGTATTCTGTCAACTATCAAAGAATCTATACAAACTGACAGATAAATTGTCTCAATTAGGGGATTTTCCTGATTTAGGGTTTGTAACTGGGATTGGGTGCGCGCAATTGCCACTACGAGGGCCCCACATTTGGCCAATTGCAGAACAATTTCGCGCCCGATTCCTGTAAAAATCATAATTTTTATAAAAAAGAAAAAGAACAAACAACAAAAACTTAAAAAAAAAGAAATCTGTAATTTTAACATGTAGAGAATATCTAAGAAAATACCTAAAAAATAAAGAAATTGTTTACATATCGACTAAATAAAGATTTGTCAACAAGTAATTACCACCTAGGATTTGAATTTTTAGGAAAATTACGTTTTTCATGTTGTTTGTAACTAGAATTTTCAGAAGTAATTTTGAATGTCTAGGGTTAGTTACCCCTTGTTGTTAACGGTTGACGTTTCCTGTCAACTATACAAGCTGACAGGTGACTTAACCAAAATTTTTGATAAACAACTACAACCAACCTAACCAAATTCATGGCAACCTATTCTCAAACATCCCTAAATCCTAGGGAGTAATTTCTTGTTGGTACGATAATAAATGTCATTGAGAACCACAATGCTGACAATCTTAATGTGTGAAATTCACCATAAAACGCTTCTACCAACTTGGAAACACTTGACAATTGTTTATAAAAAAAATTAACTATGTAGCTAGATATTAGTTGCATTTTGCGGTACATACACACAAATACAATACAGATAGATAGATATAAAAAATGTCAAATGTCAAATTTTTTTGACAGATAGAATTTTTAAACATTTTTTTCATGTTCCTTGTATCTTAGATTACTTGAAAATTCGAGTTCTAGTGCACCCTGTATACACACAAATACAACACAGGGTGTTAACAATTTGGTAACAGATCTAATATTCTCAGAATGAGACGTCCAAAAACTAAAATAGCACAAAATATGATTCAAATCCCAATCACAGACAACACATAGCTTTTTTATCACATACTCAAATAACTCGATTCTTGATTAAGTTGGAAACTATTCCGAAACAACGCACCACACAATTTGACAATAATAATATATTTTAAATAAATTATCAGATTAAGTAGTTACAAAATAGGTTACTTTCTGCACTTGTTAAAGAATTTACCTTGGGGTGTCATCGCAACGACTCATAACAACACTTTCTGCCTCCATCATTATATTTGTTACACCACTAACGTACAATTTAATTAAATTATGACAGAAAAGTACATTTATTGCACATGTGTTAGTCTCAAACACTACAAATAAGGTTAATTTTTGCTTACAATTTGGTTTCTTACCTTTACAAATGTCCAGTGAAGAAAACCAAAGCCTCATGAAATGACCAATGAGGACGCTTTTTGGCGTTTACGTTTAAAGTTAGGCAACACATTATACAAATCGCAAAGCTAATTTATTTAATTTTAAACAAAAAATATACAAACAACTTATTTACTATTTAATTCTTGTCACAGGCAAAAAATTAGTTAAACAAACAATTATACACTTTCGAGCTAAAAACCATTCGGCCGCAAACTCAATTGACCTCGACCTTTAATGACTCCAACTCAAAAAGCGTAAAAACCTTGTTTTACAACAATTCCAGACATTATCTAAATGTTGTTTAGTTATAAATGAGTAAAAACAGTTTCATTAATTCGCTTATCCACCACAGTAGGTAAAGGTTAAAAAAAAAACTTAAACTTTGTACCAATTTAAACGAATTGTTTTCAGTGTTTATTACGTGACAATTGAAAATGCAGCAAGCCTTTCTTGAAATAAACGGAGTTAAAACCAACGTTTTAACTTATGGAAAGTGGGTGGAAGAGTCGTTTAAGCCATCAGAGCCCAAAGACATTGTTTTGGTCATTCCGGGGAATCCCGGCTTGACTGGGTTTTACAAGATGTTTATGCACACTTTGAATGAGAAAACGGGGTTTCCTGTGTGGTGTGTGGCCCATGCGGGGCATGAAATACCAAAGAAGAATCCACTTTTTTCAATACAACGTTTGAAAGGGAATGAGGGGCTGTTTGGGTTGAGGGGACAAGTGGAACACAAGGTTTGGTTTTTTTCACGTTATTGTTACATTAATTGTGTTTTTTAGCTTGATTTTATCAAGAAATATGTCCCCGAAGGTGCGAGACTCCACCTAGTGGGGCACTCAATTGGCTCTTACATGATTTTGGAACTATTGAAAGAAGAATTAGTGAGGGAAAAAGTCGTCGATGTTAAATTATTGTTTCCCACGTTTGAATACATGGCAGAGACCGCAAACGGGAAATTTTTAAATTTCGTAAAACCGTTCATTTGGTTGATTGTTTTCCTGTCATGGATTTACACACTCTTGCCCTCGATTTTGTCCAACTTTTTAATGTATATTTACATGGAGATAAATAGTATACCGAAAATGCACTTCAGAGTTTTGGTTCAATTAGTTGAACCAAGTATTTTGCAAAAAGTCTTTTTTCTGGCCTATGAAGAACTCGAGTTTGTCAAAGAACGCAATGCTTCACTTATTAAGGAAAATTGCAACAAAATCAAGTTTTTATATGGACATAAAGACGGGTGGGCCCCTCCTGCATACCGTGACAGTTTAAAAAAGGATATTCCTGAAGCCAACACCGAAATGAGTCAATTTGACCACACTTTTGTGCTAAAGCAAAGTCGCGAGGTTGGTAGTATTGTGGCTGATTGGATTGTAGCTAATTGATTTTTGTTATGTATTTTTTACTAAATAAATGGTTTTGGTTGAGTTTCATGTTTAAATTACGCGCCTCGAGTTTAGTTACTTTTTTGGTAACTTCAATCCTGCCAATAACTCTTCTCGTAAAAGTGTTGACAGAAGGTGAGAGTTAATTTTTTAATTTGCGATTATTTCATTCATCCTTGCTTTAATTACAACTTTTTTGTTAATTTTCCATTGCAAAGTCGTGGTTTTAGCTCATTGTGTAATGATTTTCGTTTTTTTAGTCATTTTTTTGGAGTAATGTTTGTGTTTGTTTTTTTAGGTTAGGTCAGACCTTGCTCACACAAAAATGGTAAGTTTTAACCAGTTTTTTAATAAAATTTAACTTGTAATTGTAGCCACGTGAACTTCATGAAATCAAACAATTCCTTCTCACGGCGAGGAGAAAGGATGCTAAATGTGAGTCCATTTCACGAATTTTCCCCAATTTTAATTACTTGTGTTGTAGCTGTGAAAATTAAGAAAAACCCGGAAAACACCAAGTTTAAAGTACGTTGTTCAAGATTCCTTTACACTTTGGTGATCACTGACAAGGAGAAGGCCGAAAAATTGAAACAGTCGCTTCCCCCAGGTTTGTCAATTTTTCAGTTTCACAGTTCATGATTCCAATTTTCAGGTCTCCAAGTGAAAGAAGTGAAATGAAATTACTTTTAACTTTTGTAACTTAAATATAAATAAATAAACAAAAGTTTTGATTTTTATTTACATCGACGTTTCGTATTGACGAATATCAAACTTGTCTTCAGAGTCGGAATAAGACACGTCAGTTTCCATCAATTCATATTCATAATGTTTAGGTTTGCTCTTATTTCTGAAACTTTTTTCAACTTATGTTTGGAAATGAAAATAATTACCTGTTTTTAAATTTGTCAGAAATTTTCAAGCACATTGCGAAACAACAGACCCCAAAAATAGCAATAATTAAACCAGCAACTAACACTAAGCAGATGGTGTCGCCAGGGCCCCACTCAGTGGGGTCACTATATTCAATAATTGGGACCAGGGTCGGCATTGAAATGTTATCTGGGGTACTAAACAAATTAGATGGTGAATAAATCCCCCAAAATAAATCACGTTGTTTCATTCTTGTAATCCCCCACACCTTCCTTCAAACTCCTCTCTAAGTCTTCACCCAATTGGTGAAAAACAGTCCTCCCTAACCAATCAGCGAGATCATAGCGCCCCATTTGTCTCAATCTGTGCTCCAAACTCTCATGGGTGTCCCCTTTACCCTCCCCTTCGGCGGAATTCCAGTGAAGGAGGAGTTCGATGCAAGGTTCATCCTTCGGTAACGCTTGCTCTTAAAATCGAAAATTGGGAAACTTGGGGGTGGATTTGGGGGGTTTACCGGCTTGCCATAGTTCGTTTGGCATCATGTATGATTTGAAATGGGCGGCAGCCACCAATCGGCGGCACTCTTCAGGGAGGAGGTGGTCAGAGAGGTACTTCAATTCGGCAAAATTCAAGTCAAGTGTGCCCAAAACGAGGGAAAAATGCAATAATAGAAAGAGTTTCATTGTGTGACAGCGTTAAATGTGCCAAAAATGCTACATTACCGCCAAGTTTTGTATAGTTGGTTGCATACCCATTCACAGGTCAAGTGGGGCTAACGCAATAATAAAAAGATTTTTATATTGAAATAGCGTGGTTTTCACCACTGCCCAGTTGCAGTCTCATAATAATAATAATAAATATACCAAAAAAGTTTGTTTTTGCAAAATTATTGCAACTGTACAATTGGTTGCATACACACTTAACTCATTTGACAAAATTCAAGTTGTGTAATGAAAACGGAATAATAGACGTAAAACTCTTGACACAAGGTCAAATATGCCAAAAAAATTGCCAAATTTTAGCCAAGTGTGTGTTTGGTTGCATACCCAGTCGACACTTTTGTCGAAATTCATGTTGAGTGTGGCCAAAATGAAGGAAGAGGCAGTAATGAAACAACTTTGATCTTGAGACAGCGTTAAATGTGTCCACAAATCATTTTTGGACAAATTATCGCCGTTTGTATATTTGGTTGCATACCCTTAACATGCCAAAAAGCCCCCATCTACAGGGACACAACTCCCTGTTATCATTAGCGACTTGTCACTCAACAAAAACAAGACACAATCAACCACATCGTCAATTTCTGCAAACCTGGAATAAATTTTAAGTAAATAGTAATTTTCAGCGATGAACAAACCGATTCAAGGGAATTTTGGCCAACATTGGGCCTCCCATTTTGGGATCACTCCAGATTTTTTTACCCAAATCAGTCATAACAACTGTGGGATTCACGCAATTTATTCTTATATTGCTAGGGCCGTATTCAAGGGCTACAGCCCTTGTGAAAGCATCAACGGCGCCTTTGGTGGCACAGTAGAGGGAGTGGTTCAGAAGGGCTGCTTTGGAGGCCTGGGAGGAGATGTTGACTATAGCCCCGGGCGATTTTCTGGCAATTAAGTCGCTTATCACGGTTTTGGTCACATTTATCAATGCTTTTACGTTCACAGAAAACAATCTAAAAAGGCTCAAAATCGGGGTAATGTTTGGCTAGTTTGGGGCCTCACTTGTCGTATTGTTCTTCTGTGATTGCCACCAAAGGGTCAATGGACGCAACCCCAGCATTGTTGACCAAAAGGTCAATTGGGGAGAGTTTTTTCAGGGTGTCACTAGTCGTCTTCCAATTGGAAAGGTCAACAGCGACGATTTCAGCAGACGGGATTTCTTTTTTCAGCGACTCTGAAGCCAATTCATGTGAAAAATTGACTAATTTCAGGTTTTCAGTTACCTAAAGAGCTCAAAGACAAGTCGACGGCGAGAACAGTGGCCCCACATTGGGCCAACTTGAGGGCTATTCCACGCCCGATACCTTCAACAAAAGTAATTTAACGCGGGTTTTGTTATTTTGCGATTTTTTAGGGGATTTTATGTCAGTTGGTAACACATAAACGAGAAATTTTCAATCATGGAGGCGTTGGATAATGACATGTGTCAAGTTCGTTACCAAAAATTCGTCAAATTGGTACGTTTACCAACATTGGAACCAAAAATACACTAGACTGTTAACGCACCCAAAGCAAAATGCCCGATACCTTCAACAAAATGATTTTTAACGCCGGTTTTTTAGGGGATTTTTGTCGGTTGGTGACAATTGACGAGAAATTTTGAATCATGAAGGCGTCGGAACATGACATTTCATTTTGTGAATAAATTCTCAAGTTTTTTCATGTTCGTCAGCAAAAATTGGTGAGTTTACAGCATTGTCACCAACATTGAAACCAAAAATACACTAGACTGTTAACGCACCCAAAGCAAAATGCCCGTTACCTTCAACAAAATGATTTTTAACGCCGGTTTTGCAGTTTTTTTAGGGGATTTTTGTCGGTTGGTGACAATTGATGAGAAATTTTGAATCATGAAGGCGTCGGAAAATGACGTGTCATTCTGTGAATAAATTCTCAAGTTTTTTCATGTTCGTCAGCAAAAATTGGTGAGTTTACAGCATTGTCACCAACATTGAAACCAAAAATACACTAGATTGTCTTGTTAAAGACCCAAAATGGAAAATTTTGTTTTCTCACCAGCTCCAGCTCCAGTAACTAGAGCCCTTTTGCCCTTGAAACTAATTTCCATCTTTTTGACACGACTTAAGACTACCTACTCGAAATATCAAACGAGATTAGATTTAGATATTTATTCAACAAGCTACAAATCCTCCATCAATAGGTAAACAAGTGCCGGTAATCATAGTCGCCTTATCACTTAAGAGAAACAAAACCACATCGACGACGTCTCGAACCTCTCCAAACCTCCTCAGGGGTATTTTTTGAAGCATGGGTTGGGCCACTTTCGGGTCAGACCACCCCAGTCGCCCCATGTCGGTCATAATAACCGTGGGGTTCACACAGTTGACTCTGATATTATGGGGGCCGAGTTCCAGGGCTGCGGCTCGTGTGAACGCATCGACAGCCCCCTTGGAGGCACAGTAAACCGTGTGGTGCAGTAGACCGGCTAGTGATGCTTGAGATGAGAGATTTACTATAGAACCGGGGGCTTTCCTAGCTAGGAGATCCTTGACCACGATTCTAGTGACATTGATCAAGGCTTTTGTATTAATTGCTAAAACACTGAAAAGTGGACATTTTATCAAATGTACAGGGTGTGTCAGAAGTCAAGTAAGATAAAACATCGCCGACTCCATTCATACTAGCGTATACGGCCTTTCCATAAGCATCAAATTTGCGGGCCTAGAAAGCAATCCATGAAACGTTCCTCTACTAGCGACATCAGTAGATTAAAATAAAAATAAAATTTAGAGATTAGGTCTCATCTTGTCATGTTTGACAGTTAAAAGGATTCATTTTTCAATTTTTCATCGACATTCGACATTTTTGCTGCATCTTAAAAATTATAATGGGCAAAAAGTGTTTCATTTGTGGAAATCGAAATGGACCATTGTTTCAAATTCCCAGT